CCGAGTCACGCAGAATCTTTTACCATTCCTCTTTTGGCTCCTTTTCTCCTCTGGCTAGCGTTCAAGACGTCTAGGAGACTTAGCTAATACATATGGTGCAGCTAGCTAGCCACGTGGAAAAGGTTGAATCTGCCCTCCTACCACCTTTCAGGGGAGCGTGGACACGCATTCACATTCACCAGTTTGATAAAAGATTTAAAAGAATTTTAAAATGCTCCTCCCAGGTGAAAATACGGGAGAATTTTAAAGATTCTTGAAGAAGGCCTTTCTAAATGTTTGAAACACTTAGAAGCCACATGGGAAAAGATTAATAAATCTGACTAGGTAAAAAACTAAACACTTCTGTATGGCTCAAAGTCAAAACACAAATGACCAACTAGGAAAAATATTTGCAACATATATAATAGATGAATGGCTGTCGTTCGTCAGGAAAAAAAAAAAAAGACAGTAGGCAGTTCACAGAAGAAATAAAAATGAAAAATAAGTAAATAAACTGTTCAATTTCAAATGAGATTGATGGTATATTGTACAAGTTTTCACCTGACAGGTTAGCAGAGATTTGAAAGTTTGATGGTACCTTGTGTTGAGGTATGTGAAGAAGCAGTCAGTCTCATAAACAGTTGATAGGAATAAAATTACTACACGCGGTTAATTTTAATTTTTTAGGATTTTTTAATTAAAAAAAAAAACCTCTTTTTAAGTCTATTTATTTTTGAGAGAGACAGAGACAGCGTGAGCAGGGGAGAGGCAGAGAGAGAGACAGGTAGAGAGATAAGAGAATCCCAAGCCAACTCCACACTGTCAGCACAGAGCTGGACACAGGGCTCGAACCTACGAAACCGTGAGGTCATGACCTGAGCCGAAACTCTGAGAGTCCCACGCTTAACCGACTGAGCCACCCAGGTGCCTCAATATTTTATTAAGTAATCTCTACACCCAATGTGGGGCTTGAACTCACACCCCTGAGATGAAGAGTCGCATGCCCTGCCAAATGAGCCAGCTGGGCACCCCAATGCATATGGTTTAGGAAGGAATTTGAAAATACTTGTCAATATTTTAAATGCACATACCCTTTGACTATCAGTGCAACACCAGGACATCATCAAATGGATACATGCATATAAGTGTGAAAATACATGAGTCCAAAAATATTCCTTGCAGCCTGGTTTGTAATGATGAAAAACTAGACACAATCTGAATGTTGGTCAATAGAAGACTGATTATGTAAGTTTCGGTGCATGCAGTGGTAGGCAGAATACCCACCCCCCAAGATGTCCATGTCCTAATCTCTGGCAACTGAGAATATGTTACCTCACACAGCAAAAGGGATTCTGCCGGTGTGATTAAATTAAAGAACCTGAACTCATGGTTCATGAGTTCAAGCCCCACTTCAGGGTCTGTGCTGACAAAGCAGAGCCTACTTGGGATTCTCTCTCTCCTTCCCTCTCTGCCACTCATGCGCGCTCTCTCTCTTTAACATGAATAAATAAACTTTAAAAAATATTAAGGAACTTGAGGGGCACTTGGGTGGCTCAGTCGGTTGAGTGTCCAACTTCAACTCAGGTCATGATCTCAAGGTCCATGACTTCAAGCCCTGTGTTGGGCTCTGTGCTGACAGTTGGGAGCCTGGAGTCTGCTTCAGATTATGTCTCCCTCTCTCTGCCTCTCCCCTGCTTGCACTGTGTCTCTCTCTCAAAATTAAATAAACATTTTTTAAAAATATTAAGGAACTTGAAATGGGAAGACTTTCTTGGATTATCCAAGTGGGCCCAGTGTAACCCACAAGTCTCTCTAAGACGGAGGCAGGAAATCAGAGAGGAGAAGGCAATTGTGACATATAATGCAGAGACTGAAGTGATTTGGTAACCAAGGAATTTGGGCATCTACGAGAAGCTAGAAAAGGCAATAAATGATTCTCCCCTAAAGCTTTCAGAAAGAACACAGGCCTGCCAATTCATTTCAGAATTGAAATGGATTTTCAACTTTTTTTTCATGTTAATTTATTTTTGTGAGAGAGAGAGAGAGCACAAGTGGGGAATCGGCAAAGAAAGGGAGAAAGAGAGAATCCTAAGCAGGCTCTGCACCGCTGGTACAGAGCCAGTTGCAGGGCTCAAGTCCACAAACTGTGAGATCATGACCTGAGTTGAAGTCGGATGCTTAATCCACTGAGCCACCCAGGCACCCCTCCATTTCAAACTTCTACCTCCAGAACTGCAATATAATAAATCTGTATTGTCACTAAATTTGTGGTGAATTTGTTATAGCAGCAGGAAGAAATACATGTGTACTAGAAGACTATGCAACTATCAAAAAGAATGAATTAGAATATGTGCACATATAGAAAGACAATCCAGTATTTAAGTTGTTGTCCTGGCACACACAACTGAAGGAGAAAAGGCATGCACACCGGGAGGGGCAGAATGTGACTACTGCCAAGAAAGTAATGCAGACAGGGTGATCTTACGGAATCTCATCGCTGGCTTCTTGACCATCTACGAACACAATCTGAGGACGTTAGTCTTTGCGAGTTGGTCTGTCAAGTGTCAACAGCAATAATCATATGAATACAGCATTTATACTTTAATAGTTGTCATTTAGTTAGCAGTAACCATGGGCCAGGTTATTTATCTGTTTTATTTCATTTATCCTTGACCGACTCTGTAACAGAGGGGTCTATCCTCATTTTATAGATGAGAAGAAAACTGAGGCTCAGTCAATATAAGTGATCAATCTATAATCTTAACTGCTATTCTGTATTGTATTCTCCTGCTCGGGTCTTAGAAACAACCCTACCAAAAGGGCTCTTATTATGTGATGCACGGAGGCCTTCATAATTTAGCCTGTAATTCCCCCTCTGTCTTCATTTCCCATCACCCTCTCCTTGCTCACTCTGTCCTGGTCACATTTCCTGTGTTTCTCAAATATTTCAACCCTCC